TGTGTGTGTGTGTGTGTGTGTGTGTGTGTGTGTGTGTGTGTGTGTGTGAAAGAGATCGCTGACGTACGTAAGGTGTGTTTCTCTCCTCGGCTCCAGTAGAGAGGCCGAGTTTGGAGCTGCTTCACTTCGTCTCTCATGGATTCTGAAGCTTCTGATGYTTCCTTCAGCATCTCCGACTCCTGAGGGATCAAACACAAGAACAAAACCATGACATCATTYAAGTTCAGGTTTGGATTCAGTCCTTATTCACTAAATTTCTATGTTTTCACTTCCTCCACAGAAGCAGCAAACTGCGCGTCCGGGAGGTCATGGATGGAAGTGCAACACTGCCCCCTGCTGGAGGTTTAGTTAAACGCTGAGTTGGAGTTACCGTGTTGCAGGCCAGCAGCTGCTGGTGGACCCTGTGGAAGGTCTGCGTCTCGGAGCTGAAGCTGGGCGGCTCTCGGTTGCAGAAGGGTTTCATGTCCGTGTCGTAGACGTGGCTGAACGTCGTCATCAGCTGCTGGAGATCRCGCGCCGCCAGACGCAGCGAACTCGGAGAGAAGACGGGCGGAGTTTGGCCGTGGTCATTCGGGACGTCACACTGAGGAGATCAAACAGATCTTTAAACTTTGTGCTCCGCATTTATGACTAAACTCTTTTAACTGGTTAATGCTGTAAACTTGTTACCACTCATATTTAAAGGAACATACATCATTTACGTTATGCTCTATTCTGTTACGGCAGAAAGGTTCGTTATAATTTTGACAAAAAGATCTAATTTGTCAGTTTTTGCATTTATTATCCATTTAATCATTTTAAAAAGTTAAATAAATGTGTCTCTTTTCTGTCCTCCAACCCAGCCGGTCGAGGCAGATGGTCTCCTGTCCTGAGCCTGGTTCTGCTGGAGGTTTCTTCCTGATTAGCAGGGAGTTTTTCCTCTCCACCGTTTGCTCAGGATGGGAGACTGTGATGAAGTGATTCAACACAATCTGCTGGTTTCTTCCTTAGATTGTTCTTTTTATGTATAGTGCCCTGAGACAACCTATGTTGTGACTTGGCTCTATATAAATAAACTGAATTGAATTGGATTAAATAAAGTAAATGCAAGTGTTTAAAAAATTAACTTTCTCAATTAAACCAACTTCAGCAGCTAATAAAACAACAGATTCTGAGTCTCCAAGGATGGAGTTTTGATCATTAGATCTACTGTATGTCTACATGATTCACTTTGTTTTAATTCAAGACAGCAACCACAACTAATCGACATTAACCTGCACAAAAATGGCTACAACTCCGTCTACAGAAATTCAAATCAAATAATTGCTGGGTTGCAGATGTGTGTCAATGTCATGAAAGGCAGATGGGAGGCAGGAAGTAAATGAAGCCATGTTTCCTTCTGTTGATTCAGTGTCAAAATATCTAAATTCTGTGCCGTGTACAGTTGTTGCAGCCGCTCTAATCAGGAGAAATATCAACGTTTTTTTCATGTTCCGAAAGTAGTTTGTCACAAGCGAGTTACATTTTAAAAAACTTGCAGAAAAAATAGGACAAAAGTGGATAAACAAGTGAGTAAGTAAGTTACTTGAATTTGGGTTTACACAAGCTAAATAAATTATTTGCAAGTGGATCCAAGCACATAGAAACAAAAGAAGTTAACGTGTTGTTAGCGTTAGCGATAGCATTGTTATCATAGGCTAACTACTTAAAATAGCACAAACTCACCCAGGAAGAAACAAGTCAGATATTTAAAGCTTCTTTGGATCCTAAATGTTTGACCCAACCTGAAACTAAATAATTGTAGCTTTGAGTCTTTTGAGAGCTTTCATCTGGCTCGTTGCAGCCTGTAACATGAGGTCTGCAGCACCAGATCGTTTATGTCGATCACCTCAACACTGGGTTAATCCTCCAGATTATATAACAAGTCTTTTTAATTTAAAATAATATGAATCATATCTTAAATGTATGCATATTTTTTTGCGATATCTTGTCTGCCCCAGCCCGTTTAGGGCATTAGCGTACTCACTGTGACCTATTTCACTGTGTTGAACCAGAGCAAATCACTTCCTGCCCCTATCTGACATTCACATGTCATCCGGGTCACGTGACTGCAACCCAGCAATAGTTTGTAGTTGAGTCATTCATAACTGTGAAGCAAAGTGGAAATTCTGGCAGCATTTATGTTTATTAGAGCTGTGTATTGGCAGAAATATGGTGATATAATGCACATCAAAAGGCGATATATTCACATTTCTTTCACCAAACGATTCTAATTTAAAACAACTCAGTATAAAGAGCTTAAACGTGCATAAAATCTGATTAAATTCAGTTTCATTTTATGCCAACAGAAAAACACTGACAGTGAGAACTGTATTTGTTTCTTCTTAAAACATGAATCAATTGTGACCCATCATATCAAAAACGAGGATTAAGTCAAATTTGGTCAAAATGACCTAATTACA